CGGAGCTCGGCGCTTGTGAAAGCGGAAAGTCGAGCCCAGGACGCCTCTAACAGGCGAGCGGTGGTGCCCCGAGTCCGGTGCTCACCGGACGCGGGCCTATCAGTCTGGACCTGTTCCGAGTTCACTGGCGAGATCCTAGCTGGCCTGGGTGGCCCAGCTGTGCAAGATGACGTGGGGACCCGGGATAGCTTTCGGAACCTGGAATTGCGGGCCTGAGACTCGGTGGCTTCCCGTTTATATGCTCGGGCCTAGTGGTCTGGCTGCAGTAGAGTCCACATCAGGATGACAGCTGGCAGAGTCTTTATAGAGCAGACGCCAAGTCCCAGCACTAGACACAGGAGAAGAAAACCGAGACTTAAGACTAGCTAGAACAACCCAGCTAAGGCCTTGCTGTAACTGGGAGGTCATGCGGGCCGCTACTTTTCCATCCTTCCCCCTGGTGTTCGACATTGCAGTAGATCCTTTCAAACCCAGGACTGAAGAATGATGGGTTGGCTAGATGGAATGAGATTCGAGGGGTCCCTGTATGGACCCCTGAGTATCAGTGTAGGGTGAAAACAAAACCCCAAACAACTCACACCTTGGGTAAGCTTTCACTGAAAGTTTGAACTCTCCAAATACTGTGCTTGGCCCGGTTCCTGGCTACACTCCTTATGAGGCTGCCACCACCTGCCACCTCCTCTAGGTATCTCGGCATAAGGCAGTTTCCCACTTCCAGGAATGCCATTTGAGTAGGAGGGCTAATAAGGCCTGAAGAATGTAAAATTAAAAATCTGGGACTTTTAAATTCCATCCCTTGTTGCCTGATGTGTGTTCTCTGTGTGTGGTATGTGGAGGAATTGTGAATTTTTATATTTGTGTAAATACAATCATGAAGGTGCTGGAGTCCCAAGTGATTTTTGGCTATGTGCTCTTCAAAAAGCTAGTAATGAATTGGTAATATGTTTTTACTTAAACTCAAATCACCCATTTTAACCTCAGAGTTGCCCTTTGAATTCAAGATTTTTGTTCTTGTTTTACAGGTGACGAGACTGAGACTGAGAGGCTCAAGCCTTGGACACTATGTAAGTTCAAGTGCACAGGCTAGATTCAGAACCAATCGTTGGACTCCGGTGGTGCTGCCTTTCTTTTGTCCCAAAGAGCAGAATCAATTGGCAGTGAGTTATCTGTGGTCATTTTGCAAACACAATCAGTGGAAATTCTCTTTGCTGTGGCCTAAAAGACAAACAATTTTGTCTTTTATAAAGGAAAACAGCATTGTTTTGGATTAGCAAGCTCATTCTGTAGGGAGGAATAGAAAATATGCCCCAACCCACAATGTTAGGGAACACATTTTTCTTTCAGGTAGGGCCTCCCCCCTTTTTATTTTTTATGAAGGGTTCTGGGAATAGAACTCTCCATACTGAGCTGCATCTCAGCTATTACAAATTTTACCAGCCTTGCACACACTCAAACTCAAATCCACCAAGGCATAAGACAGAAGACACCATGGGGCTGAGGAGATGGTTCAATGGGCAAAGCACCTGTCACACAGGCGTGAGGACTGGATTCAGATCCTGTCATCCCACTGCTAGAGGTGAAGAAAGGAGATGCCCTGATCAAGGTGGCTAGCTAGACAAGCCGAGTCAGTGAGTTCTGGCTTTAAGAGAGAAACCCTACCTTAATATATAAGGTGGAGAGATTGACACTTGACTTTACCCTTTGACCTCCTCCACACAGGCACATGCATTCACAGATCCATCTATATACAGGAACATGCATACATATGTGCCCCTCAAACACACAGAAAAAAAAACCCACAAAACTGATCAGAGCGACTGGGCATGGTGGCTTTAGAGACTGAGGCAGAAAGAACAAGAATTTGAGGCCAGCTTGTGAGACATTGTCCCAACACATAGAAAATAGGTGCTGGAGAGATGGCTCAGCAGATAAATGGGCTTCCTGTACAAGCACGAGGATCCAAGTTTGAATACCCAGAACTCAAGTAAAACTGGGCATAGTAGCCTGCCTTTGTAATCTGGGTTCCTACAGCTGGGTGGAGACAGGAGAATCTCCTGAGGAGACAGGAGAATCTTCTGAGGGCCGGTTAGCTTGACATACGCAGCAGCAAACACGGTGGAAGAGACCAACGTTAGAGGTTGTCCTCTGACCTTCACATGTGTGTCCTCTTACACATGAACTTGCATACACACACACACACACACACACACACACACACACACACACACACACAAAGATTAAGAAACAAAATTATCCAAAGCTTAAAAAACAATTTTTATTATGCCTTTAAGCCCTCAAAAGATGCAAAAATAGTCAAAGAATATAATTATGTTATATATTGAAAAGATAATGTCAGGAGTAAATTAATGTAAGCAGAAATGCTTAAAGTATATAGCTGTAAGTGGCAAAAAAAAAAAAAATGACAGTCAGCAAGCAGTCTTCCTGGATGCTATTAGAACTTGTAGTTATTTTGGAAGAGCTTCACAATGCACTAAAATTGTATGCACTAAAATTGTAAGTACTCTTAGACTTAGGCGTTCCATTCTTGTAATTCATGTAACTATCCAGAAATACAAAAAAAATAACGTGTGAAAAATATACACACATGCATACTGTACTTACAGCTAGCATACAGGAGTATAGGAAACAATGCATGTTAGATGTTTGTGTATATTTCTATATACAAACACATAAGCTTTAAACCAACAATTCTAGCCTTCAAGCTCATGTATGTTATATATGTGTACACACATATATGTGTACACATGTAAGCATGGGAAATTGCATATATATTCACATATAGAAAAATTATGAATACATACACATATAGACACAGGTGTCCCTTTAGCTGCAGAAGTTTCACTTGAACTTATTTTACCCTGTGGATCATGGAAATATAGAGAAAAGTTTCTTTATAATAATATACAGTAGCAAAAGAAAAAAGAATAAACATAAAACATGGTGTATTGGTATTTTATGTTTTCTAAAAACCATAGCTCATCAACAAAACCAGGACTCAGTCACAAGCATAAAACTATATGGCTGTGAAAATGGAAGTGCTTCCACATATGGGGGCAGCAGTTGTCAAAGAGTCCGTGATAGGAGGAGAAAGTCATTAAAATAGCGTAATCCTACTTGTATTTTAAATATGTGTTGGGTAGACATGTTTAAAATTACACACATGCACACAAGCACATGTATAGTTTCTGGAATGATACTTAAAATTTTTGAGTAACAGTTACCCTTGGATAGTAAGACTAGTTTAAAAGCCAGGTGTGGTGTCACACACTTTTAATCCCAGCACTCCAGTGGCAGAGGCAGGTGGATTTCTGTGAGTGAGGCCAGCCTGGTCTACAGAAAAAAAAAATAAGTTTAAAAGTCTCAGATTTAAAAGTCTCAGATTTTTATTTACTACTTGCTGCTTTTCTGCACTGTTTCACCATTTGCCATCAACAAGAATTACAGTAACCACCACAGATCAGTTATCTTTGGGTAAACCTGGAGCTGATTAGCAAATATGAATTTTTCCAGTGTTTTCTGAGCCAAGATTAAGACCCAAATTTTTTAAAAAGAAAGAGGTTTTAAAAGTTGTTGCCTTCCAATAACTAATGGGGCCAACATCATCATGGTGTAGATATAGTAAATACTTGAAGGTAGAATGGAGTGTCATTCAATCCCCCCCCCCAAAAGACATTCCATTTTTCTGTTTACTGTAAGATTTATACAGACCAAAAGCCACTGCAAATCCTGTAGTAGGTTTGTTGTGGTAACACTCAGGGAGCAGAAGAGGATGTTCAGATAGTTCTCAGGCATGGGAATAGCTCTGACTCCAGGTAGCATGTGGGTAGGGGAACAGTGAGGAATGCTTCAGTGAAGGAAGAAACAGGAAGGGCTTAGTGCATCCTAGCCAACCCCTAGACAAGGAGGCATGGCACACACATCTTCCCCATAATCATCCTTGGAAGAAAAAAACTCATTACCAGTAACCTACTGACTTGTCCTTTTTTTTTTTTTTTTTTTTTTTTTTTTTAAAATAATTTTTTTGTCAAAGTACTAAATTGTTACTATTTAATTTCTTTTTAATTATTTCTTATAAGCATTATAAAATATGCAATAGCATACGGTGAGATTATTTTCAGTCTAATTGGATAAAGAGACCAGGTGTAACAATGTTAGAGCTCTCAGGAAGGTGCAGAAACCTTTCACATTAATCTCTGATTTGGGAGTCCCCTGAGAGCTAGTGCAAGTCCATGTAAGGTGCTGCCCGGGCCAGTCGTTCTGCTGCCTTGCTGCCTGTAGCTCAAAACTGCGGAACAGAAGAGAAAGAGGTCTCCAGGAAGGCACAGTTTTCAGGCAGAGCAAGGAGACAAATGTGTGAACAGATAGGAATTTGGAATCTGTTCCAACTTCTATTTTCTCTTTGACTTATTACACAAACATAGATTGGCAAGCCTTGTCATGTAATCACACAAAAATCACCTTTTCAGTGTACTTACATTAACTTAGAATAGCTAACTCCCACAATATTTTCTATATTGTACTGTCTACGTAGTTTATTAGAAGGAACTAATTAGTTCAGGGGGTCTCAGTAACATGAAAAAAATAGAAAAAGCAATAGAAAAAATCAGAATTAAGATGAGTTAAGACTTAAAAAATAATCAAGCCAAGTATTTCTGTTGCACTGACTTTTGTCAGACTTCTCTGTTAAGTTTTCGTGAGCCAGTGCAGCGTGGTGGTTCAGGGGTGGAATTCTCAATGAACTGACATGTAATATTAATTATAAAAGATTCTCCTCTCCCCAGGGCCACAGAATTTCAGTCTTTTTCCTCTTGTCTCTGCCCTCTATATATCTTTGCTTAGCCCTCAGCAAAAATAATTGCTAATTAAGATATGCAAATAAATATTCACAAATAAACACAGATCTCTCTCTCCCTCCATATAAAGACACATATACACATACAACATACATACATCACTGTCAGCTATGCAAAGATTCAAAAAGCATAGGACTTTAATCCAGTTGCCATATTCACATATAAAGGAAATTGGTGCTAATTAAAGTGATGTGGCTTTGCAGCCACATATTAATTAAATAATGTGAAGCAGTGCCTAGCTTTTCTTCTCTCCATTTCTCCTCTCTGTGCAAGAAGTTCAACTAGAATGGGAGAATATTTTCAAACCATCGGGGCTCAACTTTTTATTGTTTCTTCAAGCAATTGCTAAATTTGAAATTAGTTTAAAATGTATGATAATAATCTGTCCATCCAGTCCTCAGTAGTAATAACTGAATGTTGAAATGACAGCAAGTTACACCAACTTGAGTTTTCATAAATGAATCAATAGTTGTGCTAGTGATGGGAACGTGCCCACCAAGTAAGAATATGACTGGTTAGATGCTCATTCACATATGGTAGCAGACCTCCTTGCATTTGGGGACACTACCCTCTGCTATACACAAGACTGCTTCAGATGTATCCTGTAACTTTTGTGGATATTTAGTTCTATTGCTTTGCTTTTTTTTTTTTTTTAAAGTGGCAAAGTATTGGCTATAGTGCAGCTTTTAACCTGCCATGAAAACCACCAGCTTGTGGTAAAGATCAAAAGAAATGAGCTCATCTTTCATTTAAAAAATAGTCAGAAGATTATAAAGGCAGTTAAAGTCTCTATTAACTATTATATAAATATTTGCATAACTTGTTTTTAATATTTCTTGTGAAGGGCAGCTAGGAATGTATTAGTGGTAAGTGTGTGTTGAAGGTCTGTGGTCTAGCTTAAGATAAAGTGGACAATGCATTGTTTGCTATAACATAGAGAAGAAATATCTGTCTAAAAACATTCTTAAGTAATGCTGTTCCAAAGTCTTTGGGGATTTTATGAATCATGGCCTCTCTTTTGAATATATTTCAGTTCTTAGTTCAGAAATAATCAGAACCATTAGAGCATTACAAAGTTTTACAATTAGTTACCTGTTTCCCCTAGACAAAGGGGGAAAAAAAACATGATGCCAAAGTGTGTTAAGTTACTGAAATGGTAGGTCTGACTACCATGTCATCTTGGAATGAAG